TGGGAGGCACAGCACCCCGGGAGACAAGTGGGAGGCACAGCACCCCGGGCAGACGAAGCCGCCAGGAGGGGTGAGGCCCGCCTGCCCGGGGGTGGCCTTTCTCGGGGCCAGGAGGAGACAGAGAGCAGGACAGTGGGGAGTAGCTGAGCTGAGAGGAAGCTTGGAAAGTGGGGGGCGGGACGGTAGAGGGCCCGAATGCGGGTAGGGGCATCGGAGGCCTCGGGGATCGGGGTGCTGGGGCCTGGGGAGGGTCTTCGGCAGCGAGCAGACCCGGAGCCGCGGGCAGGAGCGAGCCTGAGCCCCTCTGGGGACGTCCGCACGGCACTGGGTGCGTCGTCGGCCCCTCGCTGAGGGCCCGTGCGGCTGCCGCGTGCCACGGCTCTGAGCTCGGGCTGGAGACCGAGGGGCCGTCCAGCCCCCTAGGCCAGGCTGCGCTGGGAGCAGGCGTCCCTCCCCGTCCACAGCGGAGGAAACTGAGGCCCGGCAGCCCAGCGCCGGCGGTGGGCCGACACGCCCGGCTTTCCCCGAACACCCGCTGGCCGCGGCCCCTCCGGCCCCTCCGGACGGTGCTGGCTACAGCAGCGTTCCGGGGCTCCACGAAGGGTCCCCGCCCTCTTGTAGCCATATTCCAAGAGGTAAGAAGAAATAAGTGAAATTGTTTCCGTGTGTTTTATTTCCTCTAACAGACCTGAAGTATGGCCGTCCCCATGTGGAGCCAGTCCACATCCGCGCACTCATGGGCCTGACGTCTGCCCGGGCACCCGGCACCCTCTGGCCCTGGCTGCTGGGACTGGGGGCCTGGACCGCGCAGGCCCACATTCTGGTGTGCCCCCAAAGTCGGCTGTTCCCATTCTCACCCTAGAACCTCACAATGTGTCTTGGGTAGAAGTGGGGTCACCCCAGATGTAGCTAGTGGGGTGCCCTGAGTGGGGTGGGTCCTCATCCCACAGAGATGCTCCCACAGGGAGAACCCCAGCTGAACATGGATGCAGATTGGGGTGACACCTGTGTGGGCCACAGGACCAAGGGCCAGCGTGCCGCCAGGAGCTGGGGAGAGCCAGGCTGACTCCCCACAGCCCTCAGTGACCCCACCTCGATCTCGGGCCCGGCCGCCCGGACTCAGACCGCACATTTGCCGTGTGGGGCTGCACAGCCCCGGCCAACCACACACTCAGGGCGCGCGAGCCTCGGTTTCCCCATCTGCCATGCGGGACAGTCACCACTGGCCCTCCTCGGTCCTCACGACACGCTCAAGTCGCTACTGGGGTCACCCCATGTGCTTCTAAGGGCCGGGGAACTGGGTGCCCGAGGCAAGCCGCCCAGGAGCGGGGCTCACTGCGCCAGTCCCGCCTGGCCACCCCCCAGCGCCCCGCTCCCGCTGCCCGCGGCCTCCTGGCGGGCTGCCCGCCGGGCGTGAAGGAGCCCTGTCCGCGTCTGAACAGCAGCGTGGCTGTGGTCCTCTCCACGGCCGAGCCCGGCGTGTGGGCGTGTGCACCTGCCCTCTGCGCTCGGGATCCCCCAGCCCCGCCAGGCTGGGCTTCTGTCCTGAACCTTCCCGGAGGGGCGCGCCCTGGCAGCGCTCTGGGGAGTT